TAATGCATATAGCAATTTTGTTGACTGTAAATGGTGGGGGTCTAAAAGATATATATCCCCTTGTCACATGTCTTGATGAACGCCATAGTAATTACTGATGGACAACTTGAAGGAAGTTTTAAATATTTTCAACTTTAAATGATATCGACCTATAGGTCAAATGTTTACTATAATATTCATCACATTTAACGGGAATACTGGATGTCATCTGACAAATAAAATGAAGAGAGAAAAGTAACTTTTGCATTTCCTTCTAGCTTCAAATTGGTGTTTCAGAAACTACAATATCCACTGGCTCAGAAATGTCCCACTGTGGATTAAAACTGATACCTAGAGGAATATATACAACAGCTAAGCAGAATTTCATGAAGCTGTATGGGATTTTCATACATTTCACATCTCATTAGCTCTTAGCCTGCCAAATTGGATCATTACCACAGCCTGTCTCATCATTTCAGAGTTGTAATACACTGAGACAAAATATTTACTTTAGTAGTATCTATATATTTCATATGGAGAGATTATGTATGTCGTCCATATTGATACATTAAATACAGATGGAAAGATATGTTTGAATTTCCCAAGGATTAACTTTATATAACACCAAAATGAACATCATATTTGGTTGTTCTCAATTTATAGAAAAACACATTTAAATAACAGTATTTGGCTATAGATCAATAACCTTTTTATTCATGTATGCCATGCTTATTCCATATATCTCATTTGATATATGAAATTAACTTGAGAATCCTTAAAAATTACCTTAGATAAACTGTTGGAACACTCCTGATTTTGTGGAATTAGTGATTTTTTAAAAAGTGTATGAAATAATGTGAAAAGTTATTTTCCCATTAGTGCCTAAAAAATTTCTGATGATAATTTCTAGGAAAGCATGATATGAGTTCTGAAATACTGATCTACTCATTTTAAAATATAGAATCAATTGCTTATCGCTATATTTTAGCTGCTATTCAACTATTCAATGCTGTGTAGCAAAGAACATGAATGTGGTTTATTAATATACAAAATCACAGTTTGTCGAATTGGCATGGGTTTAGTAGGATAGTACCTAGAACTTGAGGTGCTTGCTTACTTGACTAACAATAGCTGTGTGGTCCACAGTGTCATTCCTCCTACAAATACCTGACAGTTCACTAGGCATGTTAGTTTGGTATTTAGGATTTGTCTTCCCTGTGCATTTGTAGCAGGATAGAACATGGCTCTTACTTTGCAGTAGTGACTTCTACATTTGGAAAACCTGATTTTACTATCTCTTATTAAATGTCTACGAAGTCAGTATCAAAGGGCATTGCACCAGAGTTTGGACATGAAACTCAGTTTGCTAGGAGACTTTGATGTATCTGGGTTACATCTCCTATTTTATACATATTTTTTGGAACATTGGCAAAGATATAATTAAACCAAACAAGAGTAGTAGTTGAATAGAAAACTTTCATGATCCCTTTATCTATGTTAAGCGTCAGGACTGATGTGACATGCATTTCTAAGATAGAAACCCAAATTTCAGACTTGCATCAAAAGGTAAAGGCTGATCTGACAAAAAACCAGGCAGTGAGCTACATCTTAAAAGGCCAGTGCACAGACCCAAGTGGAAAAAAAATGACTGTAGCAAAAACATAAAAAATTTGAAACCCAGAGGGGTGTGTGTGTGTGTGTGTGTGTGTGTGTGTGTGTGTGTGTGTGTGTGTGTGTATGTGGGTGTGTGTGTGTGTACATTTTTGTGTAAGTCATAGAGAATTGTTGCTTATGGAGATGAGGAAAAGCTCAGTGAATGACAACAGAATCAAGCAGATCAGGTCCAACGGATGGTGGCTTCTGTGAAAGCCACAGTCCTGAGACTGGAAGCAGTTCTAAAATGGAAACTGAAAATAGTCAAAGGATTGAACTAAGCAGAAAGATAGGATGCATTTTTTCTAAGGCCAGACTGGGTTCTCTAGCCAAGTAATTCTTCCAGTGTTACTTTCATCTGATTCTCTTTTCCCATAGGATGATCCAGATACTTCCTCAAGATACCCACTTGTGCTTAAAAGACATTTCTTTTACACTTTCAGACATATATTTATCCTTCAGCAGAAAGGTAAAAATACTTAGCAATTGAGTAATTATTCAAGCAATTTGGTAGAAAAGCTTCCAAACAGTGAATGGTTTTTATTTACTAAGTTTTAACCTAGGCCTTTTAAAATTATGTATGTGTAAATGTTCAATAAATTTCTCCAGAAAGGTTACAGAAGATCAAAATATTAAAAAAGAAGCTAAAGTTACATGTCCTTCTACCCTATATGACTACCTGTGCATAGTATGCCATTAATATTTAGATCACCTTGAGGTCTCCATTAACATGCCTGTTCCTTTCTTGGAAGACAGGAACAATGCCTAAGGTCCCCACTTTCCATTGGCATTATAATGAGCTTGAGTCATGCAGCAGGTAATAGGCAAGTTGGAATTAAGAAATACTAACTTCTATGCCTATAGGATGCCCATAAGAATATTTATAGGAGAATAATAGGAAAAATAAAACTAACATACCACTTATTTTTCCAAATTTCTCTACCAGGAAGAATCAAAGAAATAACAAATCAAACTGAGGTAAAGTCTGAACAAATTTCAAAGGTGATACATGAAATCATTAAAACAGATTAAGCAGAAATACCGAGCAGAGGGAAGATGAGTTACACATATCACTAAAAGGGTGGACTGGAACTACACCTGATACTAATAGTGGTTCATAAGCAAAATCCAAAGAAGAGTTTCCATACCATTGTGTCAATGAGGGTGTGTAAATTGTATCATAAAGTTGTATATAAATGGATCTCTCTCCTTGAAGCAGATTGTAGAGTCCTTTGATGATTAAAGCCTACATTCCTTTAAGCCATTGCCACTTCCAAAAATAGTGATTATCATTTAATGGTAAAAATCTTGATCTGTAAGTCTTGATTTGTCTGAAGAAACATCTTTACTTGTAGAAGCCTTTTATAGGCATACCCTAAATACCCTAAAGTGCTCCATATTTTGTTCAGTAGAACAGTAACACAGAGCTTAACTGATCATTGTCTTTTGTCTACCTTGAGATGAAGTTCTAATTTCCATGCTATTTCTATTAAAACAGAGATCTTACAAAGGTCGCTAATGGAATTATTATCTTCTATGTCAAAGGTTATGCCCTATTCATTGGCAGTTTACTGAATCTGAATATACAAAAACATTAAGGTCTCTGTTGATCACTGAGTAGATTAGAGGCTCAGACATAATGTTACTAAGGTACAAATCAGTATGCATGTATGTACATACATGTACTAAATAAATAATTATATACAATAAAAAAATTTAAATACTCAATATCTGTGGTGATGCCTTTGCTTCAAGATGCTTAAGTGTATGGCAGGGAGAAGTCTAAATAACTCACCATTGCAATTCTAAAACCAAAAATAAACACAACTACTAATCAGAAAAAATATACCCAAGAAAATTGTAGATCTTAATTTTACTAATGATAAAATATTGAATTACCCTTATTGTTTTCTGCGTATCAAAGCATGATTTCAGTGCAGTTGATCTCTCATATTTATAGAAACAGACAGAACTTCTCAAGGCAAAACTTCGTGAAACTAGTAAAAACTTGGGTTAACATGCAGGACTCTGAGGATTCTTTCATCTGAAAGTCTTAGGATTTCTGCTGTGATAAAACACCACACCATGAATGAAAGCAATATAAGGAGAAGTTTATCTGGCTTACAGATATTATAGTCTGTCATTAGAAGACTCCAAGATAGGAACACAAGGCATGAACCTAGAGGCAAGGACTGAAGCAGAGGACATGGAGGAACATTGCTCCCTGGCTGACAGGCCACTGCTTGCTCAGCTACCTTTCTTATATAACCCAGGACCACCTACCTAGGGGTAGTACCACCCAAAGTGGGCTGGACACTTCCCTATCAATTAGCAAATAAATTCCTTGACAGACTTGTCTACAGGCCAATCCATTGGACGAATATTCTCAGTGTATTTACTATAGGAAAGAACAGTAACCTTTAATGAATCATTTTCAGTAGTATATACAGAATTAAAACAAAATGGCATGGCTTCATGCTAACAAATTTTAAGATGCTTTGCATTAACACTTCCAAGAAGATGGTGTTGCTTGTTATACCACAGCAATTGTAGTTGATACAAAGTCATCTTTTCAAAGAAAGTATTTCTATGTAACATAAAGTATTCCCTGATTTCTATACAAAATTACATGAAGTCTTGTTATGGGAGTTTTGTCTGTGTTGTGGCCTGATGTCCAGTGGAGTCAGGCATTAGTTTGAAAGGTGGGGTTTACATTCATCTGGCCATGATGGATCATGGACTTCTCTGGTGTACTCAGGAGGAGAGAAAGAAAGGCACTTGGAGGAGGAAGAGGTGGGGCCTAGGAGTTGTGTACCTTTGGAGACCAGAAGTGAACAGTGGTGCTGTGATGCAGTTGTTTGTAGTTCTTTCAGGTTTATAACCCTAATATTTATCCTGAGTTTTATTTCTTAATAAACAATAAAAGAAATATCTATAAAGTCTTGTGTATCATTAAGCTAAAAATGTAGTTACAGAAAATTTTAGTACCAAAGGAATTTGAGTTTATTTCCATGGAAAACAAATCTTTCATGTTCTGAGAGGGTAAGATTCATTACAGAGTCTGTATTAATGTTTAATGTCCTCATTTCATTTGATTATAACATAAAATTTCTGCTGAACTCACTCTCTTTAACAAAGTGTTGACTAATATAAATTCTTTCTGAATTTATAAAGCACTTTTTTTTATTCCTTCTATAAGGCTTTTTTTTTTTTCAGAAATGTTTTATAAAACCAATAAGATGATCCAGGGTTAAGAAATCTGCTCATCTTACTTTGGTGTCATTGAGAAATGTATTTTGTTCTCCTTTCAAAACATATTGCAGCAAGCAATTATAAAAATGCTGCCTCATAGAGGCCATAATACATTCATGGCTTCACAGAAGGCTAATCGCCTAACAGGTATTTTTAAATTCTAACTCTTGTGTCAGTTTAGTGCATGAATCTGGTTTATGGGTTGATATTAGGCCTAGTTGGGGAGCTTACATTTTCTATACTTAAAAGTGAAAAGGAAAGTGGATAGATGACTTTCATAAGAAACAGGACATTGATATACACAAGAAAATCCTATTTTTATTTTCTGACATTTTAAGACATGTATACAATGGATTGTGGACATACACATCCCCTTCACCCTTTCTAATGTATCTTCTCCCAGACTAGTTCATCTGATACATTTTTTAAATTTTTTGTTCAGATCTTACACAAAACACCAAAGATTCTGTGTATCCATGATGACAACAGCAATATCACCTCCAGAAGACAGAATTTTATATTGTTCTTTTCCATTCTCTGCTTTTTAATTTTCCTGCCACTCTTCCATGGTGTTCCCTGGACTCTGGAGGAGGTAAGGCAGGTGTATAGTTTTGACAGATGCATCAGTGTCACTTACTTTGAGCACATTGATCAGTTAAGGATGTGTTAATAAACCTCTGTCTACTACAAAAAGCAGACTTTCTGGCATGAGCTGTAAAAAGCTTGAGTCTAAAGACATGCATGTTTAGAACACAGTTTGACTACATGTATACTTAGTAAAAGATCCATAACAGATTCCTCCATAGTGCCCATGAAATTCTGAAGCACAGACTTTTTGCCAGGTTTGTAGTACTGAAGGGCCCCAGCATACTTGCTTAGCCTAACGCCATTTTTGAGCAAGGCCTGAAAAGTAACTAGAGGTCAGAAAAACAACTTGTACCCTGGATGAGAGCCAAGTCAGCAGGCGTGTCGAGCTCGGGGAAAAACAACGAGCTGTCCTGAGTTTGAACCTGGCCTCATACGAATCGTCCAATCAGAACCCTGTAAATTATGCTTCCTGCTTCTGTACCCGCCCTTCCGCTGCCCAACCCTATAAAAACCCTCCACTCCAGCCCGTGGGCGCGCCAGTCTCTTCAGCCTCTGGAGGGACTGTATCGCCCCGGGTACCCGTGTTCCTGAATAAAGCCTCTTGCTGTTTGCATCTGACTTGTGGTCTCGGTGTGATCTCTGGGCGAGGGTCTCTCCAGAGGGAAGACTCCAGACGGGGGTCTTTCATTTGGGGGCTCGTCTGGGATCGGAGACCCCCGCCTCGGGACCACCGACCCACTGTCAGGAGGTAAGCTGGCCGGCCACTGTCTGTCTGTATTGTCTCAGTCTGTTTACTTGTCTTTCGTTTTCGTCGGACGTCCTAAGTCAGGTCTGAGTCAGTGGGGGCTGAAGGAGCTGACGAACTCGGACTTCGCCCACCGAAACCCTGGAAGACGTTCCACGGGTATCTGAAGTCCCCTCTGGGGCACGGAAAGTCCCCTCTGGGGCACGGGAAGTCCCCTCTGGGGCACGGGAAGTCCCCTCTGGGGCACGGAAAGTCCCCTCTGGGGCACGGGAAGTCCCCTCTGGGGCACGGTTTTTCGGGGCCACCCACGCATCAGAAGGATACGTGGTACTGGCAGGGGACGGAGAATTCAAACACTCCGCGTCCCCATCTGAGTTTTTGCTTTCGGTTTTACGCCGGAGCCGCGCAGCGAAAAATTCTGTGGTCTGTCTTGTCTGTTTGTTTCTCGTTGTGTGTCTAACCCTTCTTTATTTGGAGACCATCATGGGACAGGCTGTCGCCACCCCACTGAGCCTAACCACGGACCACTGGTCCGATGTTAAGGCTCGAGGAAACAATGAGGGTGTCATTGTCAGGAAGAAGAAATGGATCACCTTCTGCAAGGCCGAATGGGTCATGATGAATGTCGGCTGGCCGCGAGAGGGATCTTTTAACCTCTCTCTTATTTCGCAGGTGGAGGGTAAGGTTTTTGCCCCTAGCCCTTATGGGCATCCCGACCAGGTCCCATATATCGCCATCTGGAGATCACTGGTCGAGAACCCATTTCCATGGGTTAAGCCTTTCCTTCCCCAGCCCCCTCCAGTCTCTGGGCCTTCTGCGCCCCCCAACTCGGACTCCTCCCTTTACCCCGTGCTCCCTCACAAGGAGACTCCTAAGCCTCCAGTCCTTCCCCCAGACCCCCATACCCCCCTTATAGATCTCCTGATGGAGGACCCACCTCCATATCGAGCCGGACCACCTGGAGAGCTGGCCGAAGCGGCCCCAGCAGCCGCCCCGGTGGCGGCGTCCCCGGCCGTGCCCGTGGCAGATCCGGAAGTCAGCTCGACCCGCAGGAACCACGGGGCTGGAGAAGAGGACGCAGCCCCGTCCCCCATTGCCGGCCGCCTCCGCGGCCGCCGGGATGACCCCCCTAATGAGTCCAGGGCCTTCCCGCTCAGAGAGGGGCTGAATCTCCAGTTGCAGTACTGGCCCTTTTCAGCCTCAGACCTCTATAATTGGAAACAACATAATCCCCCTTTCTCCAGGGATCCTGTTGCCTTAACCGGCCTAATTGAGTCCATCCTAGTGACTCACAGGCCAACTTGGGACGACTGTCAGCAGCTCCTGCAGACCCTCTTAACAGTAGAGGAGAAGCAGAGAGTTTTCCTGGAGGCCCGGAAGCAGGTTCTGGGCGATGATGGGAGGCCAACCCAACTCCCAAATATCATCAATGCAGCTTTTCCCATGACCCACCCAGACTGGGACTTCAATACACCTGAAGGTAGGGAGCATCTACGTCTCTATCGCCAGTTGCTCTTAGCGGGTCTCCGAGCGGCCGCCAGAAGGCCTACCAATTTGGCTCAGGTAAGGAATGTGATACAGGGAAAGGAAGAAACACCCGCTGCATTTTTAGAGAGGCTGAAGGAGGCTTATAGGATGTACACTCCGTATGATCCAGAAGACCCAGGGCAAGCACCAGGTGTCATCCTATCATTTATCTATCAGTCTAGCTCAGATATCAGAACCAAATTGCAGCGGCTGGAAGGTTTACAGGCGCTAGGGTTGCCAGACTTATTGAAGGAAGCAGAGAAAGCGTTCAATAAGAGAGAAACTCCTGAGGAGCGTGAGGAAAGGAGATGGCAGAAACAAGAGGAAAGGGACAAGAAACAGCATAGAGAGATGAAAAAGGTTTTGGCCGCCGTTGTGTCTCAGGGACAGCGGAGAGAGGGAGATAGGTCGGGAGAGCGAAGGAGGCCACCCCTTGATAAAGATCAATGTGCTTACTGCAAGGAGAAGGGACACTGGGCCCGAGAGTGCCCCAAGAAGCCACAAGGACCCCGCCGGCCCAAGCCAAAGACCGTAGACCTCCTTAGTCTGGAAGACTAGGGGGTCGAGGCCAGGAGCCCCCCCCTGAGCCTAGGATAACCCTCAAGATCGGGGGGCAGCCCGTGACCTTCCTGGTTGATACTGGTGCCGAACATTCAGTCCTAACCCATGCCGGAGTGCCTCTTAGCCGGCATTCTGCACTGGTGCAGGGGGCAACTGGAAACAGGAGGTATTATTGGACTGCCGAGAGAAAAGTCCAACTGGCATCAGGGCAAGTAACTCACTCCTTTCTGCACATACCTGAATGCCCCCATCCGCTGTTAGGACGGGACCTATTAACCAAATTGAAGGCACAAATCTATTTTGATGAGAAGGGACCGAGGGTCACGGGTCCTAAAGGAGACTCTCTACAAATCCTTGCCCTCAGTTTAGAAGAAGAATACCATTTGTTTGAACCAGAACCCCCAGAGAAATCACCTGAGGAACTACAGAACTGGCTGAGAGAGTTTCCTCGGGCCTGGGCAGAGACTGGGGGCTTGGGGCTGGCACACGACCAACCACCGCTGGTGATCTCACTGAAGGCCTCCGCGACTCCCGTTTCAATTAGACAATACCCAATGTCACAGGAAGCTCATGAGGGGATCAAGCCCCATATTCGAAGGCTCCTGGACCAAGGGGTGCTAAAGCCCTGCCAGTCCCCTTGGAATACCCCTCTCTTGCCTGTTAAGAAACCGGGGACAGGGGACTACAGGCCAGTCCAGGACTTGAGAGAGGTCAATAAGCGGGTGGAGGACATACACCCCACGGTGCCCAACCCCTATAACCTTCTGAGCACCCTCCCACCGACCCACGTCTGGTACACTGTGCTAGACCTGAAGGATGCCTTCTTTTGTTTGAGACTGCACCCTCAAAGTCAAATGCTATTCGCTTTTGAATGGAGGGACCCAGAAAAAGGGCTCTCGGGACAGTTAACCTGGACCCGGCTCCCTCAGGGCTTCAAAAATAGCCCAACCCTCTTTGATGAGGCCCTACATGCAGATCTGGCCGGATTCCGGGTCGAACACCCAACCCTGACTCTGCTCCAGTACGTGGATGATCTACTCCTGGCGGCCAGGAGTCGAACCGAGTGCCTGGAGGGCACTCGAGCCTTATTGGCCAGACTTGGACAAAAGGGCTACAGAGCCTCAGCCAGAAAGGCTCAAGTATGCCGAGACAAGGTTACCTACCTGGGCTACACCCTGAGCGGGGGGCAAAGATGGTTAACAAGAGCAAGGAAGGAGACGATAATCTCCATCCCTCCTCCTCGGAACCCCCGCCAAGTTCGAGAGCTCCTGGGTATGGCTGGGTACTGCCGCCTTTGGATTCCTGGCTTTGCCAAACTGGCAGCCCCATTGTACCCCCTCACTAAACCAGGGGCCATGTTCCAATGGGAAGAGAAGCATCAGAAAGCGTTCCAACAGATCAACAAGGCCTTACTCGAGGCCCCGGCTCTGGGTCTGCAAGATCTAACCAAGCCCTTTGAGCTGTTTGTGGATGAGAACTCAGGTTTTGCCAAAGGGGTACTGGTGCAAAGACTGGGACCTTGGAGGAGACCTGTAGCATACTTGTCCAAGAAATTGGACCCGGTGGCTACAGGATGGCCATCATGCCTCCGCATGGTGGTAGCCATTGCCGTATTACTCAAGGATGCCGGGAAGCTGACTCTGGGACAGCCGTTGACTGTGCTGGCCTCCCATGCAGTGGAGGCCTTGGTCCGACAACCACCGGACAGATGGCTTTCTAACGCCAGAATGACTTACTACCAGGCCTTACTGCTGGACTCAGACCGGGTAAATTTTGGGCCGACAGTTTCCCTTAACCCTGCTACCTTGCTGCCACTGCCTAGCCCCTCCGAGGAGCATGACTGCCTCCAGATTCTAGCCGAAGCACATGGCACCCGCCCTGATCTGACAGATCAGCCGCTTAAGAATCCAGACGCTGTCTGGTACACAGATGGGAGCAGTTTCCTGGAGGAGGGGAAACGCAGAGCCGGGGCAGCTATAACCACCGAATCGGAAGTGGTATGGGCATTGTCACTCCCGCCCGGGACATCGGCCCAGCGCGCAGAACTGATTGCGCTCACCCAAGCTCTCCGGATGGCAGAAGGTAAGAAGCTCACAGTTTATACTGACAGCAGATATGCCTTCGCCACTGCGCATGTCCACGGGGAAATCTACAGACGGAGAGGCCTGCTGACGTCCGCGGGTAAGGAAATCAAAAACAAAAAAGAGATCCTAGACCTCCTAAAGGCTCTGTTCCTCCTGCTCCAATTCAGTATTGTCCACTGCCCAGGGCATCAAAAGGATGACTCTGCGGTAGCCAGAGGGAATCGGCTGGTGGATCTGACTGCCCGAACAGTGGCTTCCCAGCCAGCAGGGAGCAGCCAGTTGATGGCCATACAAGAACCACAGCCTGAGAGAGACCCCGTGCCTTATAGCCCAGAAGACCATGAGCTAGCAAAGAAAATGGGGGCGGACTGGGAACAAGGAAGACAAGCATATATACTAGGGGACCGGATGGTCATGCCAACCTCCCATACCTGATACATGCTGAGATTCCTCCATGCATTGACCCATTTGAGCAAAAACAAGATGAAGACCCTATTGGACAGAGAAAACACCTGGACAGTGCTGCTGAACCAGGATCAGGTACTCCAGCAGGTAACTTCTACCTGCCCAGCCTGTGCTCAAGTCAACGCAGGAAAGGTTCATCTAAACAAGGGGGCCCGCCAAAGAGGTCATCGTCCTGGTGTTCATTGGGAAATAGACTTTACAGAAGTAAAACCCGGACTCTACGGGTACCGGTACCTCTTGGTCTTCGTGGACACTTTTTCCGGATGGATCGAGGCATTTCCAACCAAGAATGAGACGGCTAACATGGCAACAAAGAAACTGTTAGAAGAAATCTTCCCCAGGTATGGGATGCCTCAAATATTGGGGTCGGATAACGGGCCTGCCTTCGTCTCTCAGGTAAGTCAGAGGGTGGCCAAACTGTTGGGGGTTGATTGGAAACTCCATTGTGCATACCGCCCCCAGAGCTCAGGACAGGTAGAACGAGCTAATAGAACAATCAAGGAGACTTTAACCAAATTAACGCTTGCAACTGGCACTAGAGATTGGGTGCTCCTACTTCCCTTGGCTCTCTACCAAGCCCGAAATACTCCTGGCCCACACGGCCTAACCCCTTTTGAGATCATGTATGGGGCCCCACCTCCTGTTGTAGACTTTCTCCATCCTGATATTTCCTCCTTTGCTACCACCCCTACTTTAGAGGCACATCTTCAAGCCCTCCAACTGGTGCAGAGGGAGATCTGGAAGCCCCTGGCCAAGGCCTATCAGGAGCAGCTAGACAAGCCGGTGGTGCCCCACCCCTTCCAGATCGGGGACTCCGTTTGGGTCCGACGACACCAGACCAAGAATCTGGAACCACGGTGGAAGGGGCCCTACACTGTCTTGCTGACCACCCCCACTGCACTCAAGGTCGACGGGATTGCTGCATGGATCCACGCCTCGCATGTGAAGGCTGCCAGGGAACCCGACCCAGCAGGATCCAGAAAGTCAACATGGACAGTGCGCCGCACACGAAACCCCCTAAAAATAAGGTTGGCCCGCGGCTCCTCTTCCTCCCCCTCCTCTTAATCTCTGCCTACCCCCAGGGGACTAGGGCGGCAGAGAGCCCGCACCTAGTTAAGAGGCTCACTTGGCAGGTTATCTCACAAACTGGGGAGACGGTCTGGCAAACGACCGCCC